GCGCTGTGGGACAGGGAGCAGAGCAGGGGGGCTCAGCAGGGGGCGCTCTCCCCTGGCACGCAGGGCTGGCCTCAATGGACTGCATCTCAGCACCAGGCGAGGGATCCTAATATAACCAGCTGCCCCACCCCAGAGGTGGCTGCCTCTTAAGTTTTCCTGACTAGAGGTGCACGAGGCGGGGCTAAATGGAAAGGGGCGGGGCTGATCCAAAGAGGTTGGGGCTCTGGGGGGGAAGGGGGCGGGCCCACATCTGATCAGTCTCCCCGTCCCTCTCCAGGTATGAATTTGGATCGGCGATCTTTATCGGCTGGGCTGGGTCCGCCCTGGTGCTGCTGGGCGGGGGTCTCCTCTCCTGTTCCTGCCCTGGGAAAGCAGGGTACAACCAGCAGTACCCCAAAAGCAAAGCCACTTCCCGGACCCCCACCAACAAGGAATACGTCTAGCACCTTGATTTGATGCCAGCTGTCCGGCCCGTACCCTTTCCGCAGTCGATATCCTGGAGCCTGCGAAGGGGTTAACTCCTTGCATTGTGGGGTGGTGGGGTACCCCCACTTAGGAATATCAGGGTGCTCCTGAACGCTGCACAGATGTTTTTAAAAGCATTCATGACCATTGAGATTTTTTTTAACCTTCCCACATTTTTGGGGTATAGGAAGGATTTTTGGGGCACAGGGAGGATTTTTGGGGGTGCTGTGTACTTGGGGGAGGGTTAACTGAGTAAGGGGGTGCCCCTAAATTCTGTTCAGCATAGCTGATTGGGGGGAGAGGGTGGGTTTTCATTTTATGAGCGGGGAGCACCCCAAAACAGGATATACCTGTATAAAGGGGTGTGTATATTTTGCCATACGTTGGAGAAACCAGTTCAGATTTTCTTCCTTTTTAGCCGGGGTTAAACCTCAATATAACTGACCTGATCTGTCTCTGAACGGGGGGGGATCCCCACCCTGGAAATCTTACCATCTGTCCTTAAAATCCCCCCCCCTTTAAGAATCTCTCCCCATCATCGCTATGGTGGAATTGTATTTTATTTTTATTGCAAGGGGGGAAGTTTAATGGGGGGGGGATGGCCAATGTCTTTATTTAAAAGCGCTCCTGCTCGTTAGGGGTTTTTAACGAATGATCTGTGCGTGGCTGAGATTCATGTGGGCTTTGTCCTCTTTTGTACAGAAATTAAAAACTGTGTTTTGGAAAACTGTGTGTGTGGTGCCTCCTACTGGAGAGATCTGTCTTTGGGGGTGCCCTCTAGGGGTGGGGTAGGGTTCCCCAAAGGGGGAGATCAGGGTGTGTGCACACTGCCCCCTGCAGGAAAGGTGCTGTCTGCATCTCAGCACCCGGCAAGGGGTCCCTGCATAACCAGCTGCCCCACCCCAGAGGTGGCTGCATCTCAGGGCCGGGTGAGGGGTCCCTGGGTAACCAGCTGCCCTGCCCCAGAGGTGGCCGCATCTCAGCACCAGGGCCCATTGTCCATCTTATGCCCCCTCCTCCTCTCTCTATTTTAGGGGGTCCCTCATATTCTCCTGGCCTTCTCCCTGCCCCCGAGGCTGCCTTCCTCCAGTTACCATGTGCCCCATTTCCCTGGGCCGGGTTTAGGGCCAGGTGCCTGCCTGGCGGGGGGGGGAGGGGTGGCTTTGCAGGTGCCAGGCTGGGGGAGCTGTTTAGGTTGTTAGCCACAAAAGGGGAATTCACCATCTTATGGGCCAGGGATAAATCACAGAGGCACCGAAGCGAAGAAATAGGCTATAAATGCAGTAAAAAATAAAAGTATTTAAAAGTTTAAGGGGGGGGCTTTGGTTTAGAGCTGGGCCTATTCCTGCGGGGGGGGAGCCCCCCATCTCATACTGTTCCCATCACAGGGGCTCTGTAGGGTTCCTCCAAGCCAGCACTGCGTGTACATTTCAGTCCGGGGGGAATTTCTAGGGACAGAACGAAACTGACCCTATCTCAGGCTCGGGGGTGGCAGCTGAGTGAGGGGGAAGGGACAGCAGTTTTCAGGGGTTACCCCCCCCCCCAGCTTAAAACTGCTCCCAGGCCTTTTTCTTCTGATGCACAAGTCCCTGCGTGAGCAGGGCCCCAGAGTCAGCGGAAGGGAGCTGTTGCTCGTGGACATGAATGCCTGGTGGCTGCAGCCCCCCAAGAATGGGACACCCCAAAAGGAGGGGGTGGGCTGGTGAGGGGGGCAGGGAGACCCTGAAAGAGAGGCTTTCCAAGGAGGGGTGGGGGGCAATGGCAGGACACCTGGAGAAGACAATGAGCTTTTGGGGGGACCCCTGTCAGGTCAGGAGCTGCATGAGTCCCAGCCTTCAGGGCCCCCACATCCACACACCCCCAACCACATTGGGAGGCCACAGTGTGCCACATACTGGACAGACCCCCCTGAAAGATTGGGGTCCCCAGAAGCAGACTAGACAGCCCCCCCCCCCAAGTGAGATCAGGTTCCCCCACCCCCATCCCACCAGGTGCTGCACAGACACATAGTCACACACTTCCTGCATGAGGCTCCCAGCACCCCCCTGCTCTAACCCACCAGCCCCCACTCCCCTCCCAGAGCCAAGGAGAGAACCCAGAAGTCCTGGCTCCTAGACCCCCTGCTCTAACCCACCAGCCCCCACTCCCCTTCTAGAGCTGGGGAGAGAACCCAGGAGTCCTGGCTCCCAGCGCCCTCTGCTCTAACCCACCAGCCCCCACACCCCTCCTAGAGCTGGGGAGAGAACCCAGGAGTCCTGGCTCCCAGCCCCCACCCTGTGAGTTTAGCCCGTAACTCCCAAGCATCCATCTGTGTCTCCAGCTGCCCTGCGTTGCCCCTACAGATGCACCTGAGCCTCCTTCCTGCCTCTGATTGGCCCCGGGTTCAATCCACCCTGAGGTGTGAATTACCTGAGCCAGGTGGGAACAGTGCCTGGGTATAAGAGGATCTGGAGCACTAGCCCCTCTTGATTGCTGTAGAGAGGCAAGATGAGGGCTGGCTTCTGGCTGCTGCTGGCCTGGGTGATGTTTGAGTTGTCCTGTCTCTCTGCCTGGCCTTTGCCAGGAGCGACGAGAGCTCCCACCCTGGCTGCTGCCCGTTCCCTTCCCTGGGTCCCCCTCAGTGGCCTCCTGCCACCCGTGAGAGTCCAACGCCGAGCTGCCTGGCTGGAGGCGATGGTGCGGAGGGATCGTGGCCTGCCGTGTCCCTATGGTGCGGTCCTCCTCTTCGTGGTAGATCTGGCTCAATGTGGGGCCGGTCCGAAGGTAAGTTTGGCCTCCCCGAGCCCCCACTGGGGTCCTACGGGTTCTGGAGCAAGTTCTCAAGAACTTCCAGGCTCTCCTGTTGGTGCACCTACGTAGTCTTTTGGTCCCTCTGAATCTCGCTGTCCCTTGGCCCCGTGCCCTGTTGAAGAACATAAGAATGGCCATACTGGGTCAGACCATTTAGCCCAGCATCCTGTCTTCTGATAGTGGCCAATGCCAGGTGTCCCAGAGGGAATGAACAGAACAGGGAATCCTCAAGTGATCCATCCCCTGTTGCCCATTCCCAGCTTCTGTCAAACAGAGGCTAGGGACACCATCCTTGCCCAGCCTGGCTAATAGCCACTGATGGTCCTATCCTCCATGAACTTTTCTAGTTCTTTTCTAATCTTGGCCTTCACAACATCTTCTGGCGAGGAGTTCCCCAGGTTGACTATGCATCCGAAGAAGTGGGCTGTAGTCCACGAAAGCTTATGCTCTAATAAATTTGTTAGTCTCTAAGGTGCCACAAGTACTCCTGTTCTTCTTTTTGCGGATACAGACTAACATGGCTGCTCCTCTGAAACCAGGTTGACTGTGCGTTGTGTGAAGAAATACTTCCTTTTGAGTAATGGTCTCAAGTTGCAGTGGGGGAGGTCTAGGTTGGCTATTCGGAAACACTGTTTCACTAGGAGGGTGGTGGAATCTCCATCCTTAGAGGTTTTTAAGGCCTGGCTTGAAAAAGTCCTGGCTGGGATGATTTAGTTGGTGTTGGTCCTGTTTTGAGCAGGGAGTTGGACTAGATACCTCCTGAGGTATCTTCCAACCCTGATATTCTATGATTATTTTGTCTGTTTTAAACCTGCTGCCTATTAATTTCATTGAGTGCCTCCTAGTTCTTGTGTTATGAGGAGGAAACAACACGTCCTTATTTACTTTCTCCACACCCGTCATGATTTTCTAGACCTCTGTCCTATCCCCCCTTGGCCGTCTCTTTTCCAAGCTGAAAAAGATCTCAGAAGCTTCTGGTCACCGAGCCATGTCCCATGTTGGTGCAGCTGCGTAAGCTTTTGGTGTGTCCTTGACTTCTCAATTCTGCTGAGTTCCTCACCCCCACGAGCCCAGCCTGATGGTCAGGAACTGCCGGTCACTGAGCCATCTGGCAAGTCTGTTCTCCTATATAATGTCCCCACGGCACTGGCTGGCACCTGGGAATTTCCAAGGGACATTCTGATTTTTGTTTGTTTGTTTTCATTTTGCTTGGGAACAGACCATGGAAAATTTGGCATTTTCCCGCCAAATGCAAATTGATTCATGAGCATCGAATCGCCTTGTTTGAACTTCGCTCTATTTCAGCTCTTCTATTTCGGGCTGGCAGAATGCGATTTTTTTGTTTTTGATGGTTTTAGCATCGAATCGTAGGACTGGAAGTGACCATTCCAGTGCTTCACCACCCTCCTAGTGACATAGTGTTTCCGAATATCCAACCTGGACCTCCCCCACTGCAACTTGAGACCATTGCTCCTTGTTCTGTCATCTGCCACCACTGAGAACAGCCGAGCTCCATCCTCTTTGGAACCCCCCTTCAGGTAGCTGAAGGCTGCTATCAAATCCCCCCTCACTCTTCTTGAGGGGTTTGGAGGGTGGGATGGAGATCAGGGCTGGGGCAGGGGGTTGGGGTGCGGGGGGAAGCTGAGGGGTGCAGGCTCCGGGTGGTGCTTACTTCAAGCGGCTCCCAGAAGCAGCAGCATGTCCCCCCTCTGGCTCCTACGTGGAGGCATAGCCAGGCGGCTCCGTGCACTGCCCCGTCTGCAGGCACCGCCCCTGCAGTTCCCATTGGCTGAGGTTCCCAGCCAATGGGAGCAGCAGGGGTGGCATGCAGAGTGGAGCCCTCTGGCTGCCCCTCCACCTAGGAGCCGGCGGGGGGCCATGCCGCTGCTTCCGGGAGCCACGAGGTGCGGCCACCGAACCTGCTCTCCGGCTGGAGTGCTGGAGCGGGGCAAGCCCCAGACCCCACTCCCCAGCAGGAATTTGAGGGACTGATTAAAACGGCTGCTCTTTAAAATCTCCAATGATGGAGATCGCACAACCTCCCTGGGTAATTTATTCCAGCACTTAACCACCCTGACGGGAAGTTTTTGCTAATGTCCAACCTAAACCACCCTTGCTGCAATTTAAGCCCATTGCTTCTTGTCCTATCCTCAGACATTAAGGAGAACATTTACCTCCCTCTTCCTTGTAACAACCTTTCACGGACTTGAAGACGTAATACGGCTTTGAAACTTTACTACGCAGACACAAACTGCTGCTTTTAACCAAAAAAGTTTTCTTCTTCCTTATTCCTGATTGCCTACTTCCAGTTCCAAACGAGGTGCATGGTTGACTGGTCTGTTCGTAACTCTGTTGTTCGTAACTTCTGTGCTTTGTCTACTGGCAAATTTCGACTATCCTGGATGGAAATCTTTTTTCACTGCCGTGTGTATGTGTGTGTGCGTGCATGGTGGAATTGACATTTGTTTACTGATTAAAATCTATAGCTGACTTATATAAATATTCAAATTAATTTGAATATCTAAATACTGGAGCTGGTCTACTAAATAGATATTAAAGATAATGAAGCCTAAACCAAATTAGTCTAAATGATTTGTTGCCATTGTTTGTTTTCCCATTAAATGTTTTGATTCTGACAAAGCGGCATTATTGGATGGTTCTACCCCTGTGTTGTTGCTCTGCCTCCCACTTTGGTGTAGCTGGGGGCGCCTTCTCTCCCAGAGAGGTATTGGTGGCAGTAGTGGGATCCCAGCATTTTCTGGGTGTCTTTGCTGGCGCAGCAGGGTAGGTGTTGTGTGTTTGGTTTTTTTTCCCCCCTCTCCAAAGCAGTTGGTCAGGAAGTTAACACCCCATAGAGACTTGTGGGGCAGGTCTTTCCATCCCTTCCCACGTGCCATCTGAGCAATCAGTTCAGGCTCTATGCAGACTCAGGCAGGC